AGCAGAAAGGATTTCAGCTTATTAAAGAGTTCCAGGCCATGTGGAGCTAATTTGGAGGTGTCAGGAAGATATAAACGCGTCATCTTAGCAGAGTGAAATATGGCATTGCATATCTTTGATCTGATGTGGGTCATCTCCAGAGCCCAGGCAGTACCAGAAGAGCGCCTACCAGGGTCTGCAGGGGGAAATGTGTATGGTATTATACCTGCCGTCACAAGCTCATGTTCTAAAGGGGCCGCGCTGAGCTGCTATAGCCATATGGAGTCTATCTGAAGCAGTGCGGCTGATTGGAGAGAATGCAAAGAGGCCTCACGTTTTTTTTTTTCAAGGGTAAGAGAGGAGATGATGTTTAACTTCATCGGATATGTGATTCTGTGTTGAGGTTTCTCCAAACGAGGGGATTCATTCACTTATTCATAAATATATATATATATATATATATATATATATATGCATATATTGCTGCTGTCAGAACGAAATGTTGTATCTCCAAAATGATAACTTCACAGGAGAAAGTAAAAACCTACTTTACTTGTAATGTAGGTCAATGGAACCAGACTTTTTTCCAAATAATTTTGGGTCATTTCTTTTGGTCCTTTTATAAGGAATTTTATACACATTGTAAAGGGCAACAGGCATTTTTAAATTATGACAAAAACTGAAAAATGACAAAAATGGAGATACAGGGTTTTGTTCCGACAGCAGCGATATACAGAGAGAGAGAGGTTAAAGACAGCATTAAGATTAATTTTATGGGCACAATATAATAAATTGACCTACCGATGTCACAATATGACAATATTACGTTTATGTATATACAAATGAAACATGCCTGCTGGGGATAATCTGAGGACACAAATCAAGTTCTTGTCGAGTGATAACCATCATGCTATAACCAGATAACCATGAGCTAATGATGGTGGTATCTCAGTCTATGGATGATCTCTATAATGCTCCAAAGAGTCTAACCACAGTATAATCGCTGCTTATGGAGATCTGGCTATATAAAGCAGCGCTATATAGCACAGATGAAGGCTGACGTGGTTTCTCTTACCCAGATTAGAGCTAGCTTTGAACTTGTACTGCCAGTGGTGATTCTCTGAAAATATGTGTATTGTGTCCAATTGTAATTCCTGAAAAACTTGCATTTTAAAATGTTATTTTAAATCTGTAATATATATACAAATCCTGAAGCCTCAAAGCCAGGCTGTACTACTGAATATCAAGGTAAGAAAGCAGAGCAATTAAAACTGAGAGATAGCAGAGCATAGTAGAGCAATTACAACTAAGGATTAATGAAAGTAAAACTGGCATACACATAGCTTTAAAAGGACTTCTTAAAGAGAGTTCCCCCCAGAATGCTTGCTAAAGTAAAGGATCCCTCCCATTATTTTCTATAGAACACGGAAGACAACAGCAAAATCACTATTAAAACTAATGTAGTGTTAATACAGCAGTGCTATATGCTCCAGCAGGTGCTTATCTAATGATGAATCTTGATAAAGAGCAGAAATTGTGATACATTTTACATCATAGCTTTCCACTGCAGTTGAGCATAATGATGTCAGTCCTCTATGTCTCCAGTGGCATAACACATGTAACCAAACATAACACAATCAATGAGTATATTAAGGTATTCACTCGTAATTGACACAGCAAGCTGAGGAAGTGATGCCAGTTTTATGATTGCACTTTTTTATGGATCCAAACCTGGAAGCAGTTGTATACCCTGTCAAAGTCTGTAGGAGGTCATTCTTGCACTTTTGAACCAAATATTACTTTAGAAACACATACTTTACAAAATGAAACACCAACATTGTTTCAAACACTGTAAAACTAGTTTTTCTGGGGGGGTGCAGTGCTGTGCAAGAGTCAGAGACCCTTCATTTGTGTAATTTCCAGTCAAAACCACTGTTAAGCACAAATTATTTATGTTTCAGCACCAGAGAAAAAGCACAAAACGTATATTTTAAAAAAACCTCACGACTAAATATAATATCTTTTTTAGTATTTGGTGTGTCCACTCTTTGACTTTATTACAGCGTCCATTCTTTTCAGGAGACTTGCTTTCAGTTTTCAAAGAAATTTGCAGGATGTTTTTTTTCCACAGCTCCAAAGTTCAGTCTTAGAAGTTCTGTTTTCTGCAGTCCAAGTAATCCCAAAACAGTCAGTGGTGTTGAGGTCTGGATTCCACAGTGGTCAGTCCATTGTTCTGAGAACACCAGCAGGTTCTTTGTTTAAAGCCTTTCTGCTTTTTATCTTTTCCCTTTTCTCAGTGAGGCTCCTTCACAGCTACACATGCTTTCAGACTCATAGCGCTGAGTTCTCTTCTCACAGTGGAAAGATGGACAGAAACACCTGTGGATTTTTTCAGATCTGAAGCAGCTTGATTTTCTCCTCTCTCTCAAAGATAAAAGCTAAGTGCTGTTTATCTAATGGAGGTAGTTTTGGTGGTCTACCAGGTCTTCCAGGTGGTTGTTAGGAGTCACACTTTCTCAAACTCTTTTAATAATTTTTTAAGCTCCAGTTTTGGAAACTCCTTGTTTTTGTTTTGTTTTTTTTTCCTCCACTTATATCTAATCTCCTCTGAATTATCCTCCTGAATTATCCTCCTGAAAATAGTTTGTACCAACTGGCCAATTCGAGTGGAAATTAAATACATTTAAACGTGGGAAGTGGTGTCTGACTTTTTCACAGTCCTGTACGTTGCACTCTTCATTTAACACTCTTTGTTCTTTGAAGGCCACTCTTCTCTCCGGCTACCTTTGAAGGCCAGAACAGATTCTGAGATCATTATGGCTTCGTCTGTTCGCTGTGACTGTTTTAGGGTCCTGCTCCGTTCACATGTGTATTACATATGCATAATTGGGGGAAAAAAATCAAAAGAAGATATGTTTCATAATTTAAAACCTAACGAAACTGACCAAACTTCATCCATATATAAAACATCCAACAGCCTGTTCTGGAGCACTGGACGCTGGTAAAAGAAATCTGACATGCATCATTATTGTCTTTTTCAAAGAGACAGTGCAGGCTCGCCATTCAAATGGCCGTAAGCGGGGAGAGCTTCTGAGGCCTTGCCAAGAAGTTCCGCACTGCAGGCCCGCTCGGACATGTGTTCGAGGTATTGTGAAAGCCTGGACAGTTTTCTGGAAAACAACAGGCAGAAGACTTTCATCGTGGCTGAGACGATAGATTCGGAGAAACCTGCCGAGAAGCGCACCTGAGCTTCTTCACGAGAACAGAGACGAGAACCGCTCTGAACACAGTCCACTGCGGACTGAGAGCTCATCAGCACAGGCCTGACCCTCGGTTTAAACTGGGCACCACGGTTTCTGAACAGAGGAGCGGTGAGACTGAAACAGGCTGAATTTAGCCTTTAGTGACCGATTAACAGCACCGAGAGCCACAGTGGAATCAGGACTAATGCAAACAAAAAGATCCCATAAAGGCCTAATAACAAAAGATGGACCGTTAAGAATATCGCATTCCTTTTATAAAACACTTTAAATATACAGTATAAATAACTCTGCGCCATAACGCAGTGAAAAGCTCTCTCACTTTGTGGACCACAGTCCAGCTATAACAAGAGCCACGTGCGCCGCGCGGGAAACATGTAGGACGCATGACGTCATACGTCAACACAAAAGCAGCTCGCGGGGCTCAGAGGATGAACCAGGAGCGCAGCGGCACTGAATGAGTTAACTGTAAAACACAGAACGAACCTCAATGATAGAAAAACTATCTATACTGCTTTTATTAATGTACTCATCTGTTTATTCAGTCTGTAAAGGAGAACAGAGCGCAGTTAATCCGCACTGTAATTTATACGGATTACTGTTGGGAGTAAATTGTGACTATTTGACATCTCTAATGCCTGTTACTATTGCGGTTGTCGTCGTTGTTAATACTAATTATAACTAAGATAATAAATATTACAGTATTTATAGTAACCATTATTGCACCAGAATATTATTCTCAATTTGAGCATTATTCTTATTTTTAAACATTTTGTTACTAATTATGTTTTATTTAGCTTTACATTATATTATTACCGATGTTGTTGTTGTTATTAAAAACAACAATAATAAAAGTAAAAATAATAATAATAATAATAATAAATTAATAATACGTATAATAATAATAATAATAATAATAATAATACAAAATAATAAATCAATACTGTACTATAATAATACTCAACAATGACCAGAAGTGATAAATAAATAAATAAATAAATAAATGATCAGTAATGATTGATCAAATATTTATTTGATCAATAAATGATCAAATGTATTGATTGATTTATATATTGATAGTTTTATTTGATTTATTTTATCCATAAATGATCAAATACATGATCAGTAATAAATAAACGATCATACATGATCAGTCTAAATATTATTATTATTATTACTATTATTATTATTATTGTTGTTGTTGGTGTTGTTGTTATATGATAATAATATTTATAATAATAATAATAATAATAATAATAATAATATAAAAATCAGCAAATCACTATTATACTATTATACTATACTATTATAATGGTCAGTAATGTTTGTTCAGAAGTGTCATATTTCATATTTATAGCATCAATAATGCCCTCAAACATTAATAAACCATATCACATCGAATGTTCACAACAATACTACTAATAATAATATTAATAGTAATAATCATATTAATATTATTATTAATAGTAATAATAATAATAATAATACACTCACACTGATACACAATATCAGATCGAATATTAACAACAACAACAACAACAACAACAATAATAATAATAATAATAATAGTAATAATAATAATAATGGAGGTATGAAGCTCTCTGTATTAGAGTACAGAAGTCTTTTCCCTGGCGCCCCTGTATGATCTGAGTGTAACTCAACACTGGTCCCTCCTGTTTATTAGCAGCCAATCAGAGCTCTGCGCTGCCTCCCCCTTCAGCTATTTACACCCCACGCCGGGACAGAGTCCCCCAAAAAAACAGAAGAGCAATCAGGGAGAAACTTCCTGGGGACGGAGACGGTGCCGGGCTGCAGAGTGAGCGGAGTGGAGGATACCTGAGACCCAGAGAGGCGCATCACACACACTCACACACACGGACGCGCGCGCGCAAACACACACTCACACACACATACGCACAAGAGCTGAAACTCTTTCGTTTCCCGTCTCGCGCGGATCTAACCTTCCAGCCACGGATCCGAAGGTGGAGAGCGTGTTTTCCCCTCCGCCCCTGCACTTCCTCAAGAGAGAGATGGAGGAGAGCTCGAGCTCGCCCGTGTCTCCGGTGGACAGCGTGGTGACCAGCGAGGAGGAGCTGGACAGGCAGCACAAGCGCGTGGGCAGGAAGAGGAGACCCAGCAAGAAGTCGAGCGACGAGGGCAGTCCGGGCTCCGCCAAGCGGGGCAAGAAGGCCAGCCCGAGCCGCGCACACTCCTACGAGGAGCTGCAAAACCAGCGCGTGCTGGCCAACGTGCGCGAGCGCCAGCGGACTCAGTCTCTGAACGAGGCGTTCGCGTCGCTGCGCAAGATCATCCCCACGCTGCCCTCGGACAAGCTCAGCAAGATCCAGACGCTCAAGCTCGCCTCGCGCTACATCGACTTCCTCTACCAGGTGCTGCAGAGCGACGAGATGGACAGTAAGATGTCCAGCTGCAGCTACGTGGCGCACGAGAGACTCAGCTACGCCTTCTCCGTGTGGAGGATGGAAGGCGCGTGGTCCATGTCCGCCTCGCACTAGCGGAGAGCTGCTGCTGCTGCTGCAGGGGTGGGTACCGGACACACTGCTGCTCAGCCTGCTGCTGCAGGACCCTCTGTCAGCTCACACAGGCTGGACAGAGGAAGCACTGCACAATTAATAATAATAACAATAATAGTAATAATAGGTTCAAGCATGCCAAAATAGAGCTTTTCTAAGATAATATGTTTAATCGTGCTAAAATAGCCCAATAATAAGTATAATAGGAATAAATATAATAGTAGTAATAATGATAATAATAGCTTTCCAACCATAGTAATAATTCCAAAGTATGTATGTCTGTCTGTCTATCTGTCTATATATACACGCTCTTATTTGTAGTGGTATTAATAAGAATAGTAGAAACAATAACATTAATAAGAATTAGTCTAGCAATAATAATAACAACAACAACAACAACAACAACAACAATAATAATAATAATAATAATAATAATAATAATTTCACAGCAGTCAATTGTCATTGGAATTATTTATTTAGGAGTATTCTAAATAAATTTGATGGTCTTTAAAGCTCAAAGTTTTATCTCTCCGCCCACTTTGCTATTTATTTACTTATTTACTTACTTACTTACTCCCTTCCTCCCTCCTGTCTCTTACTTTCTCGTGAGAATGAAAATGGGGAAAGCGATTTATCTAATAGTTCATAAATTTTATGACGGTGACCGTTTGACCACTGGAGGCTCAGTTTCGTTTAAAAACAGTTGAGTCTGCTGGGAGAAAGAAACCACAGTCATGTTCATGTGGGATTTGTGTTCAGCTATAGATACAGAGTCAGAAACCAGCATGAGGATCAGATGTCCTCTTCCTCACTCTGACTGTCCTCTTAGGCTACTTTGCTGAACATTAGAGCCGAGCTGAGGATGTTAGAGCCGGCAGAACGGCCATTAGAGGAACACTACAAGCAGAGTGTTTGGGTTTAATCTCCTGTAAATCAGCCCTTTCTGTTGAAACAATGCGAAACCTCGCTATTCTGAAACACTGTGGAAACGCTTTGGGCATCATATTTTAATGACTATTTTAATGACTATTTTAATTACTGTAAGCTTTTCTGTGAAGGATATTCAGAGGTTTTATTTTGCTGGGCTTTTTATATGTTTTACTCTGATACATATTTAATAATTTTACTGAGTTTCAGGTGATTATGTTTCAGGTCAAGCTAAGTGGCTCTCTAATAATAATAATAATAATAATAATAATAATAGTATCACTAGTAGGCTAGAATTACAGTAATTGCATGAGATCAAACATAGACGTAGTTAGTCTAATTAAATGTTACAAAGAATAGATGCAAGACTCGTTTTATCTTAACGTGAACAAAATCAAAGCGTGTAACAATCTATGTTATTAGCAGTGAGAGACACCAGCAGTCTGTGGATACGCTCGTGAAAAGTGATTCTAGAGTAAAAATCCCTCTGTTTTAAACGCCTGTGTTTGTGCTATTTACATGCCTTTAGTTAATGTGAGGGCAGGTGTGTTGAAGGCTTGTCCTAAAGCTCAGTGTCATTTTCACTGACTGAACTGTTAACTGCATGTTAAAAACAATCTGCATTTATAGGTCGTTAAGATGTAAACAAAGTCATTCAGGGTGGTTTGGTGTGAAATGCTCTGTTCTAGAAAAACTCAAGAGTCAGATTTGTTCTCGGTGGTGGTGAGAGCAACTAGACGTCTGAAGAGTTTAATGCTTCTAAAAGCTCCCTCACAGACAGTTAGTACATGAATATGCTTGCTGATGCTGAGACATTGCTTCATGACCGTTTTGTGATAATGTTTTGTCCTAAAAGGTATTTTTAAGGCAAAATAGTCCCTAAAGAAAAAAAAAACTCAGGAGATACGTGTTGGTTATATTTCTGTTCCTGTCACCAACATTGTGAGTCGGCAACATTTCACATCAAACCACTCTGCATGACGTTTACATCTCGACGACCGAATTATGGAGAAATTTTGAGAAACCGGTGGAATCCCCCTTTGAGTTCAAACCCAATGCAGGCCCAAACCACTCAGGCGTTAATATGATGGGGTTTTATGACTGTATGCTCACTGTGTGCTAAAGAAAACACTGAGTTTTATGAATCCTCGCGTGCGCAGTGTGAGGGGATGTGACAGCCTGTAGTTTTAATCAGTGTATCTCAGTCTGTGGTGGAAAATCCACACTAACAGTCTGTTCTTGATGCTTACTTCTCGTTCTCATCTTCCCCCTTTAGACTGTTTACTTCCACTAATTCTGAAGACACCAAAGGATTTCTTGAAGAACCTATGAACCTCAGTGACATGGCCAAGACACGTTCTGTGATTCCCAACAGCGGGCTGGAGCACTTGAAGTGCCTTCATGTACCATCAGAGAACGACATGAACTAGACAAGAGGAACTCATTTCACACCCATTACTAGACAAGAGGAACATTTTATCCCCTTTACCTAAACAAGAGGAACTCCTAACGCCCCCCGCCTCCTCCAGAGGATTTTACTTTTACACCTAGACAAAGAAAAGAACAGTGCTGGCCACCTCAGTGGGGCCAATTACACATTTACTTCTCCCACAAGTTATTCTTCAGTGTGGTACAGGACAGCCGTCTGTTATCTGTAATGAAACTATATTTCCTTTTTGTCTTTAAATAGAAGAGTTTATATATATATATAAATATATGAAAATGAAAGTTTCGATAAAGTAATGTACATAATGCTACCTGTGAGTATCGTCAGCTTTTTTAAAGGTGACCAATGCAATTTAGAGCAATAGCTACTTTCTTAAAGTACGCTGCATGGATTACTGCCTTCGTGTGTTTTTTTTTTCAGATTCCGTCCATTACATTGTGCTTATTTATTAAAAACTATTTTTTGAACAATTACGTTGAACTGTGAGCTATGATTCATACACAGAGACTAGACTAGGCTTGATCCACAGGTCTAACTATTATGGTCACCATACAGCCTTCTTATGAAATGTCTTTTAACATATACCTAACTTATTACAGTTAGATGGTTGTGCCAAATTATTACAAAAAAAAACCCTTTTCCCTGCTGACTCATCAGCTTTCTCTGTCCACAGTGGAAAGCAGTGCGGGTTCATTAGCTGGGGAGAGTGGGGTTCTGGCCTTCACTGAGACCTTCATGCTTTAAGGCTCTAGAGCTGCGGGGAGACTCTTTAACAAGCACTAACAGACCTATTCACTCAGCGCCCACTCAGACTCTCATTATCATTATTATTTTTCTCTCTCAAATCTACAGCCACACTTGCAAAGCATGAAATTGTTTACTTGCAATTTTCCTCAGACACAGCTCGATAAAAATCAGCGCAATGTAAAGTTCCTGTTCCAGTCTATGGCTTTCGCTAATTGTGGATGATGAAAGTCTGCAGATAGTTTTGTTCAGTGGAGACCCGCTTTCAGCCACGAGGGGAAGAATTCGAAAAGGCTCAAGCTGCTCTGCAGGCTGAGCGCTGAGGGTGCGAGAGTGAAGGCTGGGCTTTTCTGTTCTGTTCACCGTTCAGCTCAGAGGGAGACATTGATCCTAAATGTTTGAAGGTTTTAGAGAAGATCACTCGCTTTGGTCAGATGTGTGAGCGGACCCTCAGAGGAGGGTCTAAAACAGCAGTAATGATGGAGAAGAGGCTACACATGCATGGTGAACTGCTTGTTCAGATTCATGGAGAATGTGTATGGTTCTGTACAGAACCTTTTTGACAATGGTTCTTGATAGCACCAAAAACGGTCACAAGCTTGACATGATAACGATAGCAGAACCCTTTCTGGTGCTATATAGAACCAATTACAACCCATTGTCTATCAGTCTGAAGAAGCATTTCACTGTGCAAAGAAGCATGCAAACGGTTCTATATAGAACTCATGGTTCTGTACAGAACCATTCCCTTTACTAAAGAACACTTGAAGAACTATCTTTTTAAAATGTGTAGCGTGTTACTCCCCACACCTGCTCCAGGTCTGCTTCCTCCAGGGGACAAAGAAAGCAAGAAAGACAGAAAGAAAGACAGATAAAAGAAAAGAAAGAAAGACAGAAAAAGGTAAGAAAGAAAGAAAGAAAGAAAGAAAGAAAGAAAACGTGCCCAAAGTTAATTTTTCAGGTCAAAATAGGACAATCTGTGGGGAAAACTGTGAAAATCTGTATCCGAGTGAGGTGCACATAAATACGCCTTGGTCATGTTGTAGGAGTGTGTGTGAGTGTGTGTGTGTGTTTGTGTGTGAGTGTGTGTGTGTGCGGTTGATAATGTCTCATTACCCCGGGCGGGCAGGCAGCGATCAGAGGCTCATTTCTCCACACTGCGATCGCCCAGATGTTTCCCGTAAAATCAAACGGAAAAAGCAACAAAATTTTAATTTGCAGTAAAAGGAAAAAAGTAAAGGTTTACGCCGTGGGCGCCTCCAATAGGATTTCAGCTTCGCTCATGGTACAGTGGGGGGCATGCAGGGGGTGCTTTGTCTTTTTCTTGATTATTGTTTCTGCTCTTTTTCTTTGATGTTGCTTATTTTTATTTTCCTTTTATAATAAAAGTAGTGAATGTTAGCCACGTTGATTTCTGAAGGCCCCAAAACGTGTTAGCCCCACATTTATTGCCAGAGGATAGTTTTGAATTAGTTCTATGCAGTAAAAAGCTAAATTAACTATACTCCGTACTCCCTCTATATTCAGATTACATTACATGTCCAGATGCACATGTAGCTGATTCCCACATAGCTTTGTTTTTTTACTGCACAGGACCAATTTTCAGGACATGGATTAATCCTAGTCTTGGACTAAATTGCAGTGCCAGAGGTGACTCACCATTAGAAATGCATGATTAATCTGGGTCTGGGAAACAAGCCCTTAAAGTCAGTAATAATGCTGGCAATATCTGTACAGGGAGAAGATCTTTATTCTGAAGAACTTGGTTATGTAATGATCTCACTCAGCTCTAAACGTGTCTCAGCGGCCATCTGCTTCAACACAGTCTCATTAGTGTGGCTTCTAATGTCATACAAAACAATGGCATCTATGTGTCACGTCTACTGGATCCCTAAGCGTTTTGAACAGGTGCAGAGCATTTCCTCCTGCCACAGTGCTACAAAAGCCAAAAAGCCTTTTAGTCATAGCCAGCACATCCCAAAGAATTCCTGCAATGCTACTCAAAAATTCAGATAGGATCCAAAACCCTGAGCTTAAGTTTCCAAGGATGAAACTGAGTTGGCTCGGAACTTTGGACGTATCTCCAGTCCCCTGATTCAGGATCGCTAATTCTTTGATCCGTTACAGAGAACGACTCCCTTCAGGGTCTGAAAGGGCTGTGCCGTCCACAGGGCCACTCCACGTGTGCCGTGCCTGGCGGCCTGGCGACCCTGCTGGAAAGTCTCTGAGAATGAGGGAAGCAACTAAGTGACGTGGCAAAAAGACACGATCGGCGATAGCACATCAATTGTTCATCCTGACCCAGCCCATAGATTACCTAAAGGGAGACAAACACTATTGCAAACGAGGCCTGTGGTCTGGACTTCATACAGCCTTTAATCCCATAAGTTTGTAGACACCTGCTCATCCAACGTTTCTTCTAAAATAAAGGGTTATTAGCAGGGAGTTTTTCCCTCTTTGCTGCAGTAACAGGGTCTAGGAAGGTTCTGGGAAGGCTTTATAGTAGATGTTGGAACATTGCTGTGAGGATTTGATTGCATTCAGTCACAAGAGCATTAGTGAGGTCAGATGCTGATGTTAGATGATTAGTTCTGGATCACAAATGCCACTTCAACTCATCCCAGAGGTATAAGATGGGGCTCCATCACTCCAGAGAACACAGTTCCATTGCTCCACTGCCCAGTGTAGGGGAGCTTAATAGCCCTGTAGGTGAGGCTTGGCACTGGGCATGGTAATGTTAGGCTAATGTGTGGCTGCTCCAGAGCTTCCCATTCTACTGGCAATGCTTTTCCATGAAAACTGCCCAACCAGCAATGGGGGCACCTGAATTCACAAATTAGAAGGAGTGTCTTGATACTTTTGGTCATGCTGTATATATTAAAAGCAAATTCAACATCACCTCTTTCTTTGAGAAGGGCTTTTTTTTGTCTCTTTCCTGTTTGCATCTGTTCTATCAGAAATATGCCAGCGATTTGTTTTTGCAGATGTTCTTTAGACCTACCATTGGGTCTTTCTGAACTACCAGTCGGCATTAGTGTGCTTAAGACAGAGCACAAATATTAGCCAATACAACTTTATAAGTACTCTTCAGCATATAGCAACTGCCAGTGTATGCCCCTCTGCATAAGACCCTGTTACTGGAGGATCTATTGTCAGGTGGAAGGCCTGTGCTGGCACAGTACTGATTTAGACTGTTTTGCTCAAGCCATCTAGAAACCAGGTGCACATAACAGAGCATGCTTACATTATTGGTAAACAGATCTAAACTCCAGCGGGGGTCTGTAATGGAAAGAAAAGAAAATCACCTGCAGGATCTCCAACCTCCACATCCGAGGCTGAGCAACGAGTAAATAATAAGACAGTGAGGTGTGTGTGGTCTGGAGACAGTCCATGGAGCAAGTAGACCAGAGGTTATATGTACAAAGCCTTCCAGAACAAGTGTGCAGATCCCTTGATCTGCACTCTTTAAGGTTTTATGCATGTGGGGATTCCAGTAGAGTTAATGGGTCTCTGCCATCCAAGCCGTCCTTTTCCCAGCTACAGTATGGACTTCCAGTAACCTCGAGGGAATAGCAGTCTAACCTGCCAGTGACATCACCTTTCCTCCTGTCCCAGGGCAAGCCAAGAATTTTCTTATCCGGCCCCCACCAACCGCAGCAGAGACTTCCCCCCAGCTCTCTAAGGTGGAATCAAACTGGACAAGAAAATGAGTTAAGAACACTAAAGTGGTTGTAAAGGTGGCTGTGAATGCGGCTGGAGGAATGCATGTGCAGGCCAGGCAGGGGAAATTACAACTGCACTGAAGTGGCTTTCCAAGGCTGCAACGTGTTTGCTTTTCGCTGTTTTTTTTTTCCTTTCTTCTTGAATAGTTTTGCAATATCCTTCAGCCACCTCTGTTCTCTTCATTTCATTCCCGCCCAAGGCTTAAAGAGCTCCTCAGACGACTGCCCAGAGAATAGCGAATCTTTAGCAAAGCGAGCTCAGCAGAACAGGGCTCATAAAACACAAGATCAAGTTAGCAAACATCGGAAATTGCTTTTGAACCATCATACACGGAATATCAATTTTTAAAAGAAAGCTGTTAATGTTGAATACTTTTTTCCAGCTAGTGGCACAGTCAGGCTGGAGAACCCCACATTCCTGAGCTAAAAAGAGACAGTCTACTTGCAGTGATTTGTAGCAGTTAAATAAAGTGTTGATCCCACTATTGCAGTGTGCAGAAACCTGATCCACACAAACTGCGAACTCACACTGTGACACACACGCACCACCACTTTCCATTCATTAGCACAGAGGTCACGCAGGGT